GTGTGATCTGGAAACTAGTAGCATAGCATATATAGTCCCTCATCGCCCCATACTTTAGAAACACCCCCAGACCCTGTTCTGATTATTGAGGCCCCATACTGCTCGCATGAGCTTCACTAGGCGCTTTGCTAGGACCTTCAGCTTCGATTGGGTTGGACTTGAAAGATTTGTAAACAGCCTTAAACAGCCTGCCATGATAACGATGATCCCTAAACTCCAAAACATGGTCCGAGCACACTCGCACATCGAAAGGCCTTGCGGCTGGAAATATGACAAGCACCTTCAGTATCCCTACTTGTGCAGCGAATAGAACCAGCCCACACTGTCAGGAGGGCACCTCCTCTCAAAAGTGCTGCATCGAGGCTGGCATCTGTGCCTTTAGAACGGAACTTGTTCGAGAGAAACTAGACTGAGCTGCATACCCAAGCGGTATTGCATATGACATTGGGAGTCCCGAATGCCGAGGTAGCCTGGCTGTAACTCATTAGATCATTCGCTCAGCGAAGCACCCAATGCCTGCAGGAAGAACCCTAAACCCTGCACCCTAAACCCTAAACCCTAAAACAAGAATAGCCGAACCGTCCTGGAGTCCTCTACCATCTAATCAGTCCGGTACATGACTTCCCAAATCTTCCATTGCTGTCCGTCTAAAGTGGTGAAAGAAGAGCTCACTGCCCATAAGCATTGGAGTCACGATGACCCCTTCTCGTTCCGGGGTAAGTGTACCATAATATACCCAAGACATCCATTCTCTGGCCGTTTCAGTTCCCCTGTATTTCCCAAACCCTGTAAACCCGGAACCCTAACACCCTTCGACATCGCCTGGAAAACAACAAAAAAAGACACATCAAGAAGGCCTCACCTGGCTTGCCCGAGTTGTGGGGGCGTCAAGCCCTAAACCCTAAACGCTAAACTTGGAGGATCGGGGGACTTAGTAAGTAAGGTCATAAGTCCCTTAATGGGGGTTTATAAGTATAGTTACCCTAATGATAACCCTAAACTTACTAAGTCCCATGATCCTTTAAGTACTCTCTCCCCGCCAATAAGCTCTGCAGCCCGACGTTTGCTTGCTGGCCTTTGAAGCGGTGATGCAGCAGGCCACTGGAGCTCCTAGGGTTTAGGGCTAGTGGGCTAGTAGCTCAGGGGCTTCCCATTTTGGGGTCTTTGGTTTGCAAACCTTGCTGTTTAGGCCTCTACGTTTGGGTCCCTTGTTAAGCCTTTCTTTCAGATGGTTGTTACACAGTTTTGTTGTGGGCATCCTGGAATTTCATTCTTAGGCGTGCTTCAGGGTTTTCTCTGCGATTTTGCTGGAAGGCCTATATGAGGTGTATTTCTTGGTTGTTGCTGTTATTGTTTCGCCGGGTGCTTAGGGTCGGCTATAGGCTACATGGTAGGATATTCGAGTTGCTCCACCCAGGGCTTAGAGATAAGTCTGTAAACATGGTCAGAGGCCCTTACGCTGCACTGGAACTCAGAGAGTGCAGAAAGAAGAGGATAAATCGCAGTTTCAAGTTTGTAGGGGCACCTGGTATCCAGAGGATAGCCCAAGTCAGGGTCACAAAGGACAACACGACTCCCCTTGCTTATGATTGTGCTTGAACCTATGTCGTTTGCTGGTAGACTGTGCCAGAGATACGCACAGATATATGCAAACCCCCAAAACCCTAAACCCTAAACGTTCTTAACCCCGAGCTTTAAGCCCATGTACAAACCTGGACTCGGAACCTCTCGAAGGGCGCCCGGAGTCAGCAATCAGAAGGTCCAGCCCTTGAGCGAAGCACCTTACACGCTCATTAAAAGATCAAGCCTAAAAGGCTTTGGCCGTAAGAATCATTGAAGCATTGAAGGCTTATACCTAAGGTCCTAAACTCCCTGCCTCAGCCCTAAAGCCTAGACCGAAAAGTGAGAACTGCCGAGCTGCTTGGCTCAGCACCGAACAGTTGCACCGAGCCCCGTTCTCCCGCTCCGTTGCTCGCCATGGTCAACAGCCAGGGAGCCACCGTCGCATTCAGCCCTAAACCCTAATCCCTAAACCCAAATCCCTGATCCCTAAACCCTATAAACCCTAACCCCTAATCCCTAAACCCTGATCCCTAAACCCTATAAACCCTAAACCCTGATCCCTAAACCCTATAAACCCTGAACCCTATGCAATCCCTAAACCCTTAAGGGATTTTGGCTTTGGCTTTTGGGGAGTGCGACGGGCATCCTGGGATGTCTTGTTGAGTAACTTTGGCCGTCGGAGGCTGTTCGAGTGCGGTTTATAACTACCTAGAAGCTACCGAAACCTACTGTTTGTAGGGCTCCTATAAATTCCATATTAGGGTTTAGAAACCTACTTTTGTAGGGCTCCTCTAAATCCCATATTAGGGTTTAGAAACCAACTTTTTGTAGGGCTCCTACAAATTCCATATTAGGGATTTTAGAATAAGAGCCTACAAAGAAATAGGTTAGGGTAGCTTAAGGTAGGGGGTTTACAAGGAACTTCGATACCTGGTCCTAAAGCATCATCCTGGGGTTGGTTGGGGCAGTCGCCAAACTGAACTTCCTGATCCGAAGCTTTCAACATGAACACTACCCCCCAAAAAGGGCTTTCTTCGCAGTCTTACCCAACAGAACCCGGTAATTTCTGCTACATCGTTGCTGCGTCACTGAAGGTTTGCGCGTTTGTGCGGTGGTTGTTCAGGGGTTCAGAGGATGAAGGTATGAAATCGTGCTTGTCTACTTGCATTCATCTTTGTTGTGATAAGGGCCTAACCTCTCACGGCAAGACTAGTTCAGATCACTGTATCACTGCACAGTGAACACCGGATGGGTGGACCCGGCAGGAGGAAAGCCAGTCTAATCCCAAAACCCTCATGTACAAAAAATTGACAAGGGCAGAAGATAGTTTCCGACTTAGGGCGTAGAAGGTTTGAGGTGAAACCCTCCCCAATACCAAACTACAGACAGTAGGCATCCTCTTTCTCAGGCTGCGAGCTTCTGGAAGGTCTGGGCTTTCCATGTCAAGCTAGGACTTGCAGGAAGAGCCCCAAACCCTATAAACCCCACACCCTAAGCCCTAAACCACCGGCCTTGTGCGAGTGTGAGAGTCGAAAGCCTACGCCCTAAACCCTAAACCAGGATGGATGAGGAACTGCGACGACGACTCCCCACTCCGAAGGGCCCCTTTCCCGCGCCCCTGCCGCTTTATTGTTGGTTTAGGGTTTAGAGTTTCGGGGTGGGGCCCCGGCCCCCCGAGCTGAATGCTTGGGTCTCTGGGCTGTTGATTTGTGGTTGAGTATTGCCAATCTGTCTTGGTGCTGAGGTTCAAGTTCAGAAGCAACAGTCAAAAGGGGACCCAATCGAGTCCTGAGGTAGCAGGATCCTTACCTTCCACTTCAGGGTTATTTGGACGCAAGTGAGGGTCCCCTTCTGAGTTGAAGACTAAGGGACCCCCCCCCCCCCGACGATGGGTCAAAGAAGTGTACCTGGCTCAGGCTTTCGTGGAGGACTAGTCTTAGTCATGATGCTGAAATATAATTGAAGTATGTAGCACAAACACCAATGCTAGCTAGGATGCATTAGAGCTGTTGGCATGAATAAGGCACCAGAAGCTGAAAGGCTTGTCGAACTGAAAGGAGGGCTGAGTCTTCAGATACAACCCTTTGTATTTGTAGCTCCTAGAACACGCTTAAGAGAAGACCCTATACGGTGTTTCAAGGGAGCCGGGTTTCTTAATCAGGGCCCCCCCCATCTCGAAGCGTTGTGTTTGCTGGGCCTTCAGCTGCTCAGGCGCTGCAACTCCGTTCCCAAGATGTGGCTCTTTTGCAGTTGGCAGCCGCAGGGTGCCAAATAACCCTGTCGTGTTTTGCTTCCTGGGGTTTCCTGGTTTTGTTTGTTGTTTCCGATCTTGATCTTTGTTTTCTTGCTGCTGCCGCTGCTTGTGCGGATGCTGCTGTCGTCGTCGTTGTCCTGGCGGTTATGCTGTTGACGCTTGGCTTGTGCCACTCCTTGCTTTCCGTTTTTGTGACGGTTGTGGCGTGTTGTCGTTTCGCTGCTGTGGTGGAGGTGATGGCGTGGCTGAGCGCCGTAATTCAAGTTAGTCCCGTGTCTTGCAGACTTTCTTGTTACGACTATACCACACCCTCACCACAACAGTATTTCCATCACCATCTGCAGCATCATCAGTCTTACCATCATTACAGCCATCGCCTATCCTGCACGAAACGTCGGATCCATGCTTCGAAACGCAATCACCAGGGCGACCTCCAAAACCCCAAAACCCCTATGACCAGCAGCAACAGCTGCAGCCAACAGCAGCATGTTCGCTATCAGTATCACCGTCACCACCATCAGGATCAACATCGTCATCAGGGAAGACAGCACCATCAACCGAATCATGATGCTCATTTTCACCTGACCCCCTCTTCATCCTCGTCTTGAGCATCCGTGATCACCATCATCGCAAGCATCAGTGGTCCGACTTAGGCCGGCAGTAGTTGCCCTGTGAAGTAGCTATCTGGTGCAGCTCCTTGCCATGGAAATGACTTGTTTTCGTAGAGGGCATTGCATTTCAGTGGCCGCGGTTCTCTTGAGTACCCAAGGATGCCACCCTGTCCACCGAAACTCGTTTCGGCCACGTGGCTGCTATCAGCAGGATTTCGGTCCTGGCTAAAGACAGAGATGAGCAGAGCGAGTCCCGACCTGACCCTGTATCCGAATCCAAAATCCCAATTAGTTCGGTATTTCTTCCGCGTGGGGATGCAGGCCAAGCCAGCAGCTGTTGCTCAGCCCGTGACGGGCTCCAGTGCTCAGTGCTATGGCTCCAGCGCTCACTGCTATGCTGGCTGCAGTGCCGTTAGCCTGCCAGCGGGATCCAGCTACGTCGTGCCGCCAGGCGCTTCCAGCACGGTCAGCTTGCCGGCAGGATGCTTGGATATTCTTTAGCATCCCTATAATCCTCCAAGTCGTGCTTCAAAGCACGGCCAGCCACTTTGGGTCCTCTCTCTCAGCACAAGGAAGCGGCTACTACTACGTGCCTGCCGCTGGCTCCAGTGTGGCAAGCTTGCCGGCTGCTTCAACCTACCGCTACACGGTCCCAGCTGCCACCGTGCCAGGCTACGCACCACCTGCAAGGGTCAGCTATGTCGCCACCCCGCAAAGGACTGTTGCCGGCCACTTGGCTTCGCTTTTTTAGTCCTGAAATCTGGTGGGGGAAAATCGTGTTTTGGGTTACCAGAAAGAAAAAACGACGCCATTTTCAGAATGCTGCTACTATAATGGCTGCTGCACAAACTGCAAGCACTAGCACCATAGGACGAGGACATCTGCCTCCTGCCTAATTACCTGCCTGCCTGTCCACCTACCTCCTACCCACCTAGCCACCTTGCTCGACTACCAAAGCTACCGAGTTATTTGCTTACCTACCCTCCCTACTGTTGTTGCATGTTTCCCACGACGATCGCAAGTGCGATGGCTTTTCCTTGCTCTCCCCTTCTTTTGGAATCGCCAAGGAGCTCCGCGCGTGGTGGTCCGAACGACGACCCCGGCAGTGCCAGTGAAGCCATCGACGACACCGGCACCGGCACCCGAAGTTGCCCCTGGGCTCCTGTTTGAAGGAACTTCTCTTTTAAGCTACAGCTAATCATAAGCGGAGAGGCTCCTAGTACTTGCTAGAGATCCCCCAATTATATAGTAGCTCCAAGCATTTTGTCGAAATTAAACTCGTAAACTACCCATAGGCCCCATAGTAGTTCCTTTTTTGGGATTACCTTATAGGCTTCTGTATATGAACCCCCAAAAGGAACTATTTTTGGGCCTATGGGTAGTTCCTTTAACAAGAGCCGAGGTGAAGCCTCCGACGGCGGCACCGGAACCCGAGCCTGCGGAACCCACCTCGCCGGAGGCCCCCATGCGCGGCACGCTGACGGAGGAGGAGGCGCCCGGCATCGCCTCAGCTCTCGCTTTCAAAGTACCCCTAGGCCCCATAGTAGTTACTTTTCTGGGGTTCATATTTAGAAGTCGTCTATAAGGTAATCCCAAACAGGAACTATTATGGGGCCTATGGGTAGTAGAAGGGCCTGAATAATCAGAAGAGGGTGTGTTTTTTTTTGGGGGGGGTATATTATGTCTAAGTATGATGTGGCTTCTGATTCTAGGGAAGAATATGGGTAAATGTTTAGGATTAGCTTCGTCCCAAGGATCTTGTCAGGGGTGCTGCAAGCTTTGTTGTGATGAGCCTCTAAAGCAGTAGGTGGAGCTCTTGGGGAAAGCAGTGCGGCACGACGGGTTTATTGCGTGTTTACAGCGGAGTGCAGGGTGCCATGCTGAACCCGCAATCCAATTTCAAGAGCACACTACGCTCGCTGAAGGGGTCCAGAAATCAACCATTTCTTCAGCTTTTATGCACGGGCTTTGCCTCAAGACTTACAAACACGCACGAAGCTAAGAGTTCGAAGCCCGAGTGCCGCGAGGAGAGACGAGCTCTCAATGCCGTGAGACAGCTCTTCGATGGACGTCTGCTGGCCTCAAGATATGGATACAGGGCTTCGTCTTGAGATCCTGCAGCCTCAGGGTACAGTTCTGTGTGCCCAACCCGAAGTCCAATAGCAAGAACCCTAAACACTCAATCCTGAATCCTAAACCTAAACCCATACAAAGGGAGGATCAGAAACCATTCCCATTCGCATGAGGCACAAAAGCCTACAAAACAGCTAAATCCATAACAAAAGCCCTACGCCCAAAGCCCCAAAAGTCTCCCGAGGCCACGGGCGTGTTCTCATCTGCCCGCCAGGCCATATACTTCCTTTTTCTCCGGGAACAGGGGAGCCCAAAACCCCCAAAACCCCCAAGAGGGTGATGATTCTATTCTGAGCATAGCTCCAAACTGTTCCGGCTGCCCAAAAAAGGCCAAAACTCCAAGTCCTTTCTTTCGATGGTGCCTGCAGTCCCAGCCAGGAGCAATGAAGCAAAACAGGAGGGCTGCAGGTTGCGGAGTGATCTCAACGGAGCCCTCCCTGGTTGAGGGTTTAGGGTTTGAGCGGTCCCCCAAGAGCTGCCAGCGAAGTCGAGGCAGAGTAGGCACGGGCGGGCCCGAACTGCGCGAAGGCAAACAAGGCCCGAAAGAGGAGAGCTAGAGGAGATGAAGCCGTTACGGTTGCACCCGATGTACTCCAAGGGTTCCCCGGTGTGGTTCATCACAGTCTAGAAACCTTGAATCCATAGTACACTTCGTCAGGTGTCTATGTCGTGGGGGAGTCGGGATCGCAGGTTTGAATCTTTCGTGGCCTTTTGGAACTTCCGAGCTCAGTCCAGGGGTTTCCTTGATTAGGGCTTAGAAATATGGGCCTTCAATATAGGGGTCCTATACTATTTCGAGGTTCCTTGCTACAACTATAGTATAATGGGTCCCAAAACTTATTTTCTAATTATTAAGGCCCGTACATTACGTAGGGCCTTCAGCATCATCGCAGTTTCCCTAGTCTGACCGTCGCTCTTTCGGCGTCTCCGACTCGTGAAGTCTCAGTCTCCGGTGACCCGTGGATCCATTTCCAACCCTGCAAAAGCTTAGTTCCCCAATACCCAGCCTTTAAAGCGTTTGGGTTCTTAAAATTCAGTAGTCATCTGAAAGTTTAAGCTTTTATTTCCCTGGCTTATTGGGGAAGTAAGAAAAGCCTGTTCCTTGCAAATTGGCAGCTGACATGGAAGAGTTCTACCTGGAGCTGGAGCGCGAGAAGTGCTTCTTCGACAGAGATCCGAAGAGGCGTTGTTGTCAGTTTCAGGGTTTGGGGTTCCTTGGGGTTTGGGGTTCATTACGGTACTGTAGGGGTCGAAATAATTACCCATACTAGTGTAGGACCCCTAAACCCTAAACCCTAAACCCCACTACCCCAAAACACTTAAGGCCTGTATATTGAATCAGGATCGTCTATGGTTTAGGGTCTCGGGCACTTCTGTGTTTTTGTACAAGGGCAAACTCAAGGGCTATGTTCTTTGCACGGATTGTTGCGGTGGTATTGGGTCTGTTAAGCATTTGACCTGGTTTTTCTTTTCTGGCCAAAGGTTCGTTGGGAGAGTACCTATAGTCTCCATTGTAGTTCCTGTTTCTGGTTTCACCAATTCTATATTAAGGATCCCAAAAGGTAACCCCAAAAAGGAAATACAATGGAGACTATAGGTAGTATGGTGGAAGGGTGATGGTCTGATGTGTGGGCCATGGTGTCAGTGGAGTGTGGAGTGGATGGATGCCCCGCCCCTTCCCCCAGCCACATCCTGAACTTGTGCAGGCCTGGAGTGACCTATGTAACGTAGGAGATCGCGAGTCACCTCTGCGATTTTCCGCTATTGAACCACCGTCGCACGCATGCCCTAAACCCGCAGCCATGTTGACCCTGGCTCTTAAACCCTAGTCCTGGTTCGCGGACTGAAACAAAAAGACCTTAAACCGTAAGCCCACGTAAAGCGTGCCCTGGTCTCATGCCAGACCTCCCTCCATGCGCTTTTGGCTGCAAAACCCCGAACCCGTTGCTGAACCAAAAGCCCTACGCCCTAAGACTTAGGGTTTAGGGAAGTTTAGGGTTAGCCCTACGCAAACCCACCGTAAATCGCAAGGCCTCGGCTTATCGATGGCCCAGATGGTCACAAAGCCTTTCTCAGCCCAAAGAGCCCTGAGCCCTCAAGCCCCAGCGGTGTGACTTGCACTTTTCAGGCATGGCTCTTAGATTCCACGCTGCGCCTCAATGGTGTTTAGCAATCGCATTGAAAGGGTACTTGACTGAGAATAGAGATCTGGGCGATTGCACTTTACAAGGGCACCCCTATAGGCAGTAAATCCATCTCAAGGAATTTTAGGTTAAATAGTTGCAATGAGCATGACCCTTTCTAGCCCTACATACATATTGCATCCATTGCACCCCAGTCCAATCAGTTGGACCTTGATAAGTCCCCTTGTTCAGTTGTGTTTGGATTCTGTCCACATACTCATTCGATTCCTAGGTTCCTGAGTAGTACCCTTTTGCCCTTTTTATTGTACTGTTCCCTTTAATTAAACTGAATAACAGGAACAGGGTACCCTTGTTATTAAGAGGTCAGGAACCTAGATTCCTGGTCTTGGCATATAGGCACGTAGTCTACGCAGCCTAGAGACGAAACACTTATCCTGGGGCTCCAAATAGCCCAAAGTAGGTAGACTTTAGACCCCAAAGTAGGTGCTATTCGTATACTTGGAGCCCAGGGGTTATGAAACATGGCAGATGAAGCCCATGATTTGTCCGATCATGCCAAGTGCCGGCTGCAATCGCAGGCATTTGAGATACAACGCATCCAGGAAGTTTAAAGCCACTTGATTGCAAAATGTGGCCCTTCACCTGACGACGTTTGCATCCCAGCATGCGGCTCTGCCAATGAATACATATCAGTAGGACCCCATGCCCCAGTCTGTCACTGGAAGTCCTGGCAAAGCGAATATGCCCACGGGGGCCTCGGTGGCGGTGATGACGAAACAGAGGTGGTGATGCTGACTCATTATCATGGTGAAAAATGCCTACTAATGCGCGGATGATATGTTTTTGTGTTTTTTTGATTGAGTTGCTCTTCAATCAATTCCCACCTTTTTGATCTGCAATCATGCAAGTTGTCCGTTGTTCATGTATGCCTTCTTGCTGCCTACTGATCATGGGCTATGTGTTCATCATTTAGCTATTCCTCAGCATTCGCCTGCAATGCAGTTCTTCTTCACACTGCATGTCCTTATACAGATTTAGTGTCCTTGCTCTTTGTCCTTGCATCGCCGTGCGTGTGAGGGAAACCCATAGCTTGTCGAAGCTGATGTTGTTGCAGTAGCCGTCTCCCTGGAGTTAGAGAGTTAGTTGTGTCGATGCCGGTGCTGCTATTGATGACATGGTGATCATTGATCAGGCTGCAGTGGGGAACGATAGAGGTGATACTGCTACTGATGATGGTGCGGGCGGTGATGGGGTGGTGATGATGTCGGTGATGATGATGATGATGATGATGATGATGATGACGATGATGATGATGCCGATGATGCGGCTGATGATGATGATGATGATGGTGATGGTGATGGTAATAATGCTGCTGCTGATGATGATGATGTTGTCATGATGATGGTGATGATGATGTTGGTGATGATGATGGTGGTGGTGGTGGTGGTCGTGTTGGTGGTGATGCCGGTGTTGCTGCTGTCGGTGGTGGTGGTGATGATGTCGTCGCCTTGCTGCTGCTGCTGCTGCTACTGCTTCTTGCTGCTGCTGAGCCGGCAGCTCTATAGCACTTTCGTCGGCCTTAACGCCTTTATTGCTACTACAACCAACACAGGCTATGGAGCGCTCAAACTTGGTTGCTCTATTCTTTATGCCGACGGCAGCTTACAGTTTGAATCCCGATGTCAGATATGCCGTGTATACACTTAAATGTGCGAAGGATCTTCGCAAGCAGGCCTGTGGCTTCGTTAGCCAACAACCAACAGTAGAAAACACAACAGGGAAGATAAACGCAAGCACAAGCACATACAGTACACAGAAGTGCAGAAGACAAGTAGTAAAGCAGGATCAGCGAAAGCCGTAGACGTGAGCACCAGGAGCATACTGTTGGAAAGATAGTCATAACCTTTAGATTGTGGGCCAATCTTGGAGGACGATCATCTAAGCCAGTCCCATTCCTGAAGCTCCGACCTCCCCAACCTCAAAGTTTCAGACTTCATCCGTAAGCCATAAACCCTCCTCTTCTATAGGCCCCATAGGAGGTCCCTTTTTGGGATTGCCTAAGAGGATTCTAAATATGAACCCCAAAAAGGAAGTACTTTAGGGCCTATGGCTATAAACCCTAACGTAGAGCGCAGAGGTGGCCCACATGCGAGCAGACTCCGACACACGTCTCTATGCCAGCTGACAGAAGGGGCTGAGGAATGCAGAGTTTAAGCGTTTTGGGTTTTGGGTTTAGTGCAAGCTCTATTGGGCTTTAGCCTTCAAGCTTTAGGGTTGCACTGTAGGTGGTTTATGGCTTCGGGTTTCAGGGTTCAGGGTCTAGGGCTCTAGGGTTTTGGGAGCACGGAGATGTGCAACGCATCGGCTTTCTGCCCTTTGGAAGGTCATGCCTTTGCAACCTGGGATTTATAGAAATTGTATAGGGTTTGGGTCCGGGGTTTTGAGCGAAACGTTTTGAGCGAAACGTTTTGTTTTTAACTTCATGTTTCGATTTTTGGACTGGGCTGGGCTGGGCTGGGCTGAGCTGGGCTGGGCTGGGCTGGGCTGGGCTTGGGCTGGGCTTGGGGCTGGGCTGGGCTGGGCTGGGCTGGGCTGGGCCTGCTGGGCCTGG